GGGGGGGGGGGAGGGTGTCTTAGATCAGATGGTACTTTTTGGTTACAAAACTGCATAAACAGGACCTCACGTTCGATAAAGAAGAAGGTAGAATTATTTTGTCCAAAAAAAGCCTCTTGAGGCGTGCCAAATAGTCATTGTTTATCTTCTTTTGACAAATGAGAGTTCTAAGGCGTGGTCAAAATATCTGCTGAGTAGAGAGCGTTCAATTGTCAGTTATTAGATCATGACATTTCGGGGTGAAGGGAAGCTAAGGGTGCGGCTTACACTGAATTGTTATTTCCAGCATACTCCCACAAACAAACTACATTAGCTTGTGTCCTGCAATTGTCTGTGCTTGGAAACAGTAAACCGCAAGAGCGAGCCGTTTTAAGGCATTTGGAGCACTCTTTGAAAACTGTTCTCTCGTAAAAAAAGAATTTGGAAGTCGACCAGGGAAGGCTTTGTATAATAGTGCCAAGCAAAATTTCTCAGCGACATCTCCGCAAATTAACGCTATAGCAGTCGGCAGGCTACAAGAAAACACAGCAGGGATCAGCAAGAATTTTTGCCGTATGTATGGAAATGAACGACTGCTAGTTGTCTGGGGTGATTTTTTCTTTTGCTAAAGCCAAACGGGTAACTGCGACACGTACAAGAAATTTCACAGATATGCCGGGATACGAGGTGAAGTTTACATCGCCTTTGGACAAGGCGTTCGAGTGCCCCATTTGCCTGATAGCTCTTCGAGAACCGGTACAAATAACTCCTTGTGGACATAGAATGTGTAGTACCTGCCTACAACCAATTTTAAAGTAAGTACAGAGAAAGCATTTTTCTTATCAGTTGTGCATGAACCTTGTAATTCTGGTTTAGTAAAATCCGACTAGTGGTCTTACTATTATCAATGCTGCGTTCTGATTGGTTGAGCTACTACTAGGCTATAAGTTATAGCCCCCTATAGTAGCGAAAAGCGCGGGCTTTTTGTCGGCCAAAAAGGATTACAGCCTAGCTTTAACTAGCTAATTT